AGCAGCAAGAGGTGCTCTGGCATCACAGCTCACAGCAACCTCCAACTCCTGGGCTCAAGCGAGTCTCCTGCCTCAGCCTCCCAAATAGCTAGGACCACAGGCGCCTGCCACAACGCCTGGCCATTTTTTGGTTGCAGCCATCATTGTTGTTTGGCGGGCCTGGGCTGGGGAGTCGAACCTGCCACCTTAGGTGTATGTGGCTGGCGCCTTAGCCACTTGAGCCACAGGTGCTGAGCCAAGACATTTACACTGACAATTTTTTAAATGAAAAATGGCAGCACCTGTGGCTCAAAGGAATAGGGCACTGGCCCCATATGCTAGAGGTGGCAGGTTCAAACCCAGCCCTGGCCAAAAAGTAAATAAATAAATGTTGGAAGAAATTAAAGATGTAAAGGAATGGAAAGATGTCCCATGTTCATGGATCAGAAGACTTAATTCTTTCCTTCTTTTTTTTAATTTTTTTTTTTTTAAAGAGACAGAGTCCCACTTTGTTGCCCTGGGTAGAGTGCTCTGGCATCACAGCTCACAGCAACCTCCAACTCCTGGGCTTAGACCTCAGCCTCCCAAGTAGCTGAGACTACAGGCACCCATCACAATGCCCAGCTATTTTTTGTTGCAGTTTGGCTGGGCTGGGTTTGAACCCACCACCCTCTGTATAGGGGGCAGGCGCCCTACTCACTGAGCCACAGGCACCACCCAGAAGACTTAATATTTTAAGATACCAAGCATTATTCCCCAAATTGACCTAAAAGATCCCTGTACTTTTTATCAAGATCCAGACATTTTTTTGCAGACATTGGCAAAATGCTCCAAAACCTCATATGGAAATGTAAAGGACCCACAGTAACCAAGACAATTTCAGAAAAGAAGAACAAAGTTGGAGGACTCCTATTTTCTGATTTCAAAACTTGCTACATAACTACAGTAATTAACACTGGACAGAATGAGTGTTCCATGGCAAGCAGGTCTTTGCAAGCCTACCCCTAATGTGTAAGGAAGCTGAGAGGCCAAAGAAAGAAGCCGACATATCCGATTTCTCAGAAAGAAACATTTATAGAGACGTATGAACAGAATCCACGTCCTGGGCAGTGGCCAGACAAGATGGTGGATCCCTAGGATGTTATCCTCTAGACCAGCAGTTCTCAACCTGTGGGTCGCTACCCCTTTGGAGGTTGAACAACCCTTTCACAGGGGTTGCCTAAATACATCCTGCATATCAGATATTTACTTTATGACTCATAACAGTAGCAAAATTACAGTTAGGAAGTAGCAACAAAAATAATTTTATGGTTGGGGGTCACCACAACATGAGGAACTGTATTAAAGGGTTGCAGCATTAGGAAGGTTGAGAACCACTGCCCTAGACCTAGTACTTATAGATGGTAAATAAGGAATATGAAGGACAACTGAAGTCAATCCCTCTGGGAAGGCAAGAATACTAGGTGAATCTGCCAGAGGGCAGGACTTACAGTCAAGGTTGTATTGACCTATGGGTCAGGATTTAGATCACAGTAGATAAAACAGAAATCTTACAGGTATTCCTGGAAACAGGGGTTAATCATAAGTCAGCATAGTAGATTAGCATCCAAGACAGAATTGCTTTAGCTTCCACAATAGGCATGAAGATAGACAAATACAGATCAATGGACTATAGGTGCAAGTCTAAAAGTAAAACTTTACATTCATGGGCAGCTGATTTTCCACAAAGTCCCAAGATAGTTTCAATAGGGGGAAAGGCAGTCTTTACAACAACTGGGACAATGGGATATCTGCATACAAATAGGTAAAATAATGCAGGCACTTTGGACAATAGTTTGGCAGGTCCCCAAAAGTTAAACACAGAGTTACACTTTGACCTGACAATTCTACTCCTAAATTGCAGAGAAATAAAAACGTATGTTGACATATGCAAACAATAGGGTAATTATCAACAATAAAAGAATGTGGTTCTGACACATGATACAAGGGCAAGCTTTGACATTATATATACTAAAAGAAGCTAGTCACAAAACCCGAAAATATTACACTCAATTGTATTTCATTCATTCATATCAACTGTGCAAATCGGCAAATCTACAGGGATAAGAAGTAGGCAACTGTAGTTATTTCCTAGGATTGGGGGGTCGTGGTGAATGGAAACTGCTACCAGGTGCAGGGTTTTTCTTTAAGGAGATGAAAATGGTCTAAAATTAGATTGAGGTGATGAATGCACAGTTTAGTGAACTTACAAAAAAACTACTACATTTTACACTTTAAGGAAATTCTATGGTTTATGAATACAAATTCTCAACAAAGTTGTTTTTTCAAAAAGAAGAACGAAACTGATGCAAACCCACTGCCTGCAAATTTCGGAGATTCGCCAAAGAAGAGGCTGCCGAGGCCGCGTTAGGGCTGGGGGTTACAGAAGGGAACGGTAACGTGCCCAGGGAAGTCGCCATAACTTCCCCAAAGTGAGAGGACGATCGGATGCCTGGTTACTGTGACCCCTTTCAGCCCCCTTCGCAAGCCACTCCTAAGTCAACAGAGAAAACGCGAGAAAATCCGCAAAGTTCCAATTACACTCACCTCCCAACAGCAGCAAGAGCCCGGAACCGGAAGCGCAGGCGCCATCTTTGTTAGGGAAAAGGGAGGTTTGAAAGAAAATCGTCAGCGCCATCTTTGATGAGGGCAGGAAAGGATACTAGAAGGCAGCAACGGCCATCTTTACTGAGGACATTGTCTAGCCAATGAAATGGCTAATTTGGGCAATTTCTAGAGGAAGCGGGGAGAAAAAAAATTTTTTTTTCAATCTGGAAAAGTGTTAGTTTGTTTACTTTTTAGCTTCTCATTGGCCAAATCCATAAAAATGTAAATGTCTACATTAAAAAGTGTCTACATTAAAAGTAGAGAGAAATAAACACAGGGTGTAAATATTTTATCAGAATTTCAGGACCACAGAAAAGAAATTGTCAAAAGACAGATAGCTTTGATTAAAGATGTAATTGGTTTTTATTTGCAGTGCTAGAATTGGGCAACACCCCATTATTATAAAAATAGAATGAGTGTTCCTGTGAGCTAAGCAGAAGTGGTTAGTTTTATAGGCAAAAAGGGACTGATGAAAGCAGAAACAGAGAGCAAAAAGACTGATCTTTTCAAAGTTACTTTCCTTACAACAAACAGAAAAAACTTCCCTATTACACTTAGTCAGGTGGACTTCAATGTCTGGTTGTTGGGTTTTGTTTTTTTTTTAACTGGCCCATTTCAAAAAAATGTCTTGGTTGCACAGCACTTAGCACAGGTGACTCCATTCTGGCTTGGTCTGGTTTGCTGGGGGTAGTGCAAAAAGCCAGGCCAAAACATGGCATTCCATAAACTTTGTTTAAAAAGACTGAGGGCTATTTTTTCATTTCACAGTTCTTGAGAGAGTAGTATGTACTCATAGCCTCCTATAGATGTCTGTGTTGGGATAAGACCTACAAATTAGAAAAGCTATATTTAAGATATATATAGATATAGATATAGATATAGATATAGATATAGATAGATAGATAGATAGATATTTTTTTTGAGACAGTGTCTCACTTTGTTGCCGTTGGTAGAGTGCTGTAGCATCACAGCTCACAGCAACCTCCAGCTCTTTGGGCTTAGGCAATTCTCTTGCCTCAGCCTCCTGAGTAGCTGGGACTACAGGAACCCGCCACAAGGCCTGGCTATTTTTTTGTTGCAGTTTGGCCAGGGCCAAACCCACTGAGCCACAGGCACTGCCTGAGATATATATACACATATATAACTTTTATTGTTTGGTATTCATTGAGGGTACAAAGAGCTGGTTACATTGATTGCATTTGTTCCGTAAAGTCCCTGTTTTACTTGTGTCCTACCTCCAAGAGGTGTGCCATACACCATGTCCCCCATTCTCCCCCCTCCTTCCCTCTCCTGGCTACCTCATTCTCTTACCCCAGCCACCTCAATCTCCTATCCCACCCTTAAGATGAATATTTTTAAAAAATACTACATATGGTTTGGCCAACTTTTTGCCAGACTCTGAACTTAAGATACTCTGGGAGATGTACAGCCTTTGAAGAAAAATTTAACTTCCCTTCACCTTCAGGCAACCTAACACAGCAACTGTAAATTTCATTTTCCTTAACATCTTTATTCATAATTATCAAACTATTGTTACTGATGAGCAATCAAACACGATCATTTTTAAAAATTTACTGTATCTCATAAAAACAGCTTCTCAAAAATAAGATAATAGATTGTGATTAGAGAAAAACTAGAATGACATTACATTACTTACCTAGTAAGAAACAAAAAGAAGGTTCGGTGCCTGTAGCTCAGTGAGTAGGGCAATGGCCACATACACAAAGGGTGGTGGTTTTGAGCCTGCCTGGGCCTGCTAAACAATAATGACAACTGCAACCAAAAAAATAGCCGGGTGTTGTGGTGGGTGCCTGTAGTTCCAGCTACTCGGGAGACTGAGGCAAGGGAATCGCTTAAGCCCATGAGTTTGAGGTTGCTGTGAGCTGTGACGCCACAGTACTCTACTGAGGGAGACGAGTACTATGGTGTCACATTTCTCAAAAAAAAAAAGAAAGAAAGAAAGAAAGAAAACTACAAACTCAAATTCAATTATTTGAACAAAATTAATTATCTGGATTAGTATACAGCCATTAAAGATGGTAAAACATTTAGTAAAAGAAATGATTGGTCCTTCATTGCATTTCCAGTTCTATGTGTCTTTAGTGTCCTTTAATCTCTGCCCTCAAAAAATAAAAAATAAAAATCTCAGTCCTCAGTCTTTTGTTAAAATCTTCTCATTGGCATCTTTGAAGAGTATAGGGTAGTTATTTCGTGAATGTCCCTCAATTTGAGTGTGATGCTTCCAGCTGGTTCTCAAAGATATTGAGCCTCTCTATTTGATCATTCCTTCCCTCCCTCTGGAAAGCTCTTGTCCCTGGGTTTCCTCTTTCCTCTCTGAAAACTCCATCTAAATCTCCCTTATACTCTTCTATTTCTTCAGTGTAGGCCTCTCTCAGTACTGTCTTGGATCTTCTTCTCTTCTCTTGTTACCTCTTCCTGTCAGATGATTCCCAACCCTCTCAGCCCAAATTCATCCTAAGATTCAAGGCAACAGATCGGCCAGCCACCTTCAATTCAACCTGCACCCAAAGAAAACCCAGCGTTTCTCCTACTTCTTACTCAGCCTACCCTACCCCAGGGTCCACTGTCTCAGTGAGTTGGCCTGTTGTCACCCCCCACATCCTCTCCTATTGCTTCTTCCTTTTAAACATCTGCTATCTCTTGATTGTCTCCATCCTCACTGAAATGTGAGTACAGTCCACCATTTTCTGATTCCCGATGACAACAGCTTCTCAGTTATCTACCCACCTTCCTGAAAAGGGAGTTAGTTTTTAAAATGAAATTTTGATCACATCACTTCCCTGACCTCAGACCACAGCCCAAGGTTCTCAGTGGGACTTAAAGGACCCTGCCCAGTGAGGTGCGCTTACACTTTGGGAGGCCAAGGAGGGAGGATTGCTTGAGGCCAGGAGTCTAGGACTAGCCTGGGCAATGTAGTGAGACCCTGTCTCTACAAAAAATTAAAAGATTAGTCAGGCGTGGTGGCACATGGGCACCTAGAGCTACCTGGGAGGCTGAGGCAGGAGGCTTGAGCCTAGGAGTTTCAGATTGCAGAAAGCTATGATGACACCATTGCATTGTCTCCAACTCTCCACTTATACTCTATACTTTTCCTTAAATATGCCATGCTTGTCCTTCTCTTTCACCTTGGAGCTTTCTCCCCTACACAATTTTCTCCCTTAGAAATGTTTTTTTTCCTTCTTTTATCTTTCTCATCCTTCGTATTTCAGCTTTAGAAAAGTGTTCCTTGGCTTGGCACCCATAGCTCAGTGAGTAGGGCACTGGCCACCTATACTGGGGCTGGTGGGATCAAACCCAGCCTGGGCCTACTAAAGAACAATGACAACTATAACAAAAAAATAGCCAGGTGTTGTGATGGGTGCTTGTAGTCCCAGCAACCTGGGAGGCTGAGGCAAGAGAATCGCTTAAGCCCAAGAGTTTGAGGTTGCTGTGAGCTATGACGCTACGGCACTCTACCGAGGGTGACAGAGTGAGACTCTGTCTCAAGGGAAAAAAAGTGTTCCTCCTGGAAACTTCTCTGACTTAGCTAATAAGAGTTAGTTGCCCCTTTCCAGGAATGTTTACTTTCCACTATTGACCCTGATTACTTTCAATTCCTTTGCCTTTTCAGTATTTCCCTATACAACTATAAATGTTTCAGGGGAAACACCATGTCTATCTTTTTAATGCTCTATTTCAGAACGCAGCTCCTGGGTGATTCACACCTAAGTGCTCAGAAAGTGTTTTTATTAATAAATTCATGCATGAATAAGTCTCTTCTCGGGTCTTTCTTTATTCTCCATTTTCTATCCATATCCCACTTCTCGTCCACACCCCACTCAATCCTTACACCCTGTACCTTCTGAGAGTCTGAAAAACAGATTATCAGAGAAACAAACCTTAGGGACTTTACCATTGTCACCTTTGCTTAAAAAATAATTGTGTGGCTTGGTGCCTGTGGCTCAAGCGGCTAAGTCACCAGCCACATACACCTAAGGTGGCGGGTTCGAATCCAGCCTGGGCCGCCAAACAACAATGACGGCTGCAACCAAAAAAATAGCCAGGCGTTGTGGCGGGCACCTGTGGTCCCAGCTACTTGGGAGGCTGAGGCAGGACTCGCTTGAGCCCAGGAGTTGGAGGTTGCTGTGAGCTGTGATGTCACAGCACTCTACCCAGGGGGACAGCTTGAGGCTCTGTCTCAAAAAAAAATAAAAATAAAATAATTGTGTATAACTCTCATTTATTCTTCTTTATTTTTCCCATGCTAAGGATTATCTTTCCAATGAGCTTCTGAGAGCAAATTTCTGAAGTCTAGAGCAACTCTCTCTGTCATGCCTCTGACCATCCTCTCTCACCACTTTTAGTAATGAAGAAGAAATGAAATGTAGTTGAAGTAATCATCAAAACAAAAGCTTACCTCTGCAGAGATGGCAAAATAGAGCTTATTGCATTCCAAAAGTAAGGCATGACTTATTTTGGATTTCCTAATACATTGCTATTGGTTATATAATGGCTGTATGAATTGGACTATGTCACAATTTGTACCTCTTTATATTTCATGGTTGAATTTCGGCTATTAGCTAAGTCAGCTACTTCAGTAAAATTTCTTTCAACAGAAAGAAGACATTTTTTCTTTTGGCTGAAAATCAGAATAGCTCTTTCAAAGTGGGAAGATGTTATTTGCAATTATCTTATCTCTCTTTGTCATTCTGAACCTTGATCTAATTACTTTTTCATCTGGGGACTTGTCCTTAAGAAAGAGGAAAGAAAATATCACAAAAGTTCAAGGATCAAGTAATGAATGAGTCTCAATTCATTGTATTGCTTTTTCAACCATACACTATTCTAAAGCCACAAGTAGGCAATACATTGACAACCAAATGGAAAATATCAGACTGTAGACGCCCTAACTAGACTGGAAGATCTACGATGAGGATGGAACTGTGGGACTTATTTGC